ATATATATATATATATATATATATATAGCATCTGAGATCCCTTACATTCGCTAGACACAATGAGGTTCGTTTTTTCGTCCTTAACTAGTCAAGTTAGAGTTGCTCTCGGACACTTGTCTTGACTTTCACTAATTCAGTCTCGTATCCTTTTGAGTACATATACTGACTAACATCAAGTTTCCCACATATCACGTTATTGGTGTCCCTTAAAACCCCACAGATATAACAACACATTTTCCCTTCCATAACATCCCACATGAAACATTTAACATACATAACATGTGAAAAATTAAAAGCTTAAATCATAGCATTCTCATTAATCATCATAGTCATGTTCTAAAGCATATGTAAAATTACACTGTAATTCACCTGGATTAGTGTAGGTTTATTTATCGTTCGCTAGTTTGCAACCTACATAGGCATCACATACACCCAAGTACGGGTATCAATCATAACGAACCAGTACTATGTTAGATTAAGTTTTTACATTTATATTCAACTTTCTGTACAGCCAAACTTGGTCAACACGACAGGCCCGGGTGACCCCATCAGCCCGTTGGCCACTATACCTCAAAACACAGAGCTTGGCCAGAAACTTGTGATTCGTTGGCTACTGTGTCTTCAAGATGTGAGCCCAATAACTAAGGGTAGCCACACTAGGTCATGTTTGGTATTCATTGGTCGACTCTGTTTTAACCAGATCATTTTCAACCAAATTTGGACATACGTTACTGCTTATAATATGTCCATTTCAAGATTTTGTTGCATTTCATGCATTAAATTCATCCGTTACATGTAAATCTTGTCCTCAACACGAACCATCATTTTTGGTCCATATATAAACATAAAACCTCGTATTCAACTCCATTTTCATAACTCATTCACGTCCATTTCATCATAACACTACTGAAAAGGCATGAAATCGTAACTCTGGAAATGTTAACGTTTATATTGTTAGTCGTGTCGCTATAACGGTTCGTAGTCATTGACAAAATCGCGGTGTTGCCAATAGCGGCACTGTTTACCGCATTTACTGCTCAGAACTTGGACTATTTTCTTGATTTTTACTTATTTTGCCTTTTCTCCATAGTTTCATGAGTAGTTCTTCTTCTTTTTTCTTATAATTATTAGTGGATTCATCATCATTCATCAGTCAATTGATAGGGTATTCAATTTCTTCTTAATTGTGTCTTGTAAAATAATTTATGGGTTTTTAGCTTAACTTTTCTTTTGTACTATATATCATCAGTTATCAGCGACAGCTGGAGTATATCGTATCAGTTATCTGCAATAGTTGGAGCATATCATATCAGTTATCTACGACAGTTGGAGTATATCGTATCAGTTATCTGCAACAGTTGGAGTATATTGTATCAGTTATCTGCAACAGTTGGAGTATATCGTATCAGTATACATCAATATATTAAATTAAGATCATGACTGTTATTTCCGATTTTGACTACTGTAACAGTATGCATTAATATACGATGTACCTTAATTTCATATAAACTCTTCTTTGAACATCGGAACTATTCTTTCAAAACTTTCTAAATTTAGTCCTCATATTTTACTCATTCCTATTTTTGACCATGAAATTTACATATATTCATTATCCTAAACATCAATTAGAGTTCAAAATAAAAATTAATTGGTGGAACAGACATAAATACTTTGTGCTAATATTAAATAACGGAAAGATTTATTTGAAAAGTGGTAAGTATTTGAGAAGTAAATAAGTGATTTTAATCTTTCATCTGGTCAACATTTACGGTTTTTGTTGTGAAGCATCAGATAATTTGCTGCATGGGTATGCGGAAAATAAAGGGGTAGTTTCGTAACTTTTACAAATAGGCGGCAAACGGGTTCATATGTGAATTGGTTAATTAGTTCATATGTGAATTACATGGGTTGACATATGAACATATAGGTCATATGTGAATCACACGGGTGAACATATAGGTCATATGTGAATCACACGAGTTCACATATGAACTCGTTTGCCGCATATTTATAAAAGTTACGAAACTATCCCCTCTATTTTTTCTTATAGTCACAAATTTTAACCAGTCAAAGACGCAATTCTTGACCAGTCAAATTCAATTCCATGTACCGTAAAATCTCACCAAATATCAACGTTTGGTTTGATTGAATATAACTTTCAGGGATTTGGATTTCTTAGAAAGATTGGGAATTTAATAGTTTGAATGTGAAAGCTTTGATGTGTCTGGTTTGTAAGATTTGAGATTTGGAATAGAAATAAATTATATTTCTTATAAATAATTTATGAAAATAAATTATAAATAATTATAAAAATAATTAAGTTATCTTTTTATTAATTGATTATTACAAAATATTTAACATGTTGGAAAACATTATTACATGCAAATCATACGGAATTCGGTGAAATATCGACCACCTGAATGAGATTTCAATGAAATTTAAATTCAAAAAATCTTTCAAACCAAATATAAGATTGGAATTCAATTTAATTTTAAATTCAATTCAATCCTACAAACCAAACAAAAGTTATTTGTTTGTATATAATATAATATAATGGGTTCATTCCCCCAGAAACCAGAATTTTCATTCAAGGTTAAAATGGGGGAAATAAAAATTCATTTCCATTTTCATTCCCTGTCATTTTCATTTTATTTTCATTCATTTGCCTAAAACAAACACCCCCTAATTTAGTAATAAAGAAAACAATCCGAAAACAAAATATATTTTAAATTCACCTATCATAAAATAAGCAAAATAACTACAAAGGTGATGTTTGATTGGTTTAAGTTTAAGCTCCAAAGATCAAAAGTGGCTGAACGTCCCAGACTCAAATTCAAGGAGAAACAAAAATCCTCTTGTAGCCATGAAGGTTCAAATATGGTGACTCCAGGCTACCCGTAAATCAGGTGGTCGTCCTGGAATTAGTCGGTTTGCATAACAGATTGGATATCCAGATTAATTTAAAAAGAAAAAGGGGAAAAAAGCAGAATAGGTATATTTTCAACTAATTCAACCATTTATCAAAGATATTTATATTTTATCGTTATTTATTTTATTAAAAATATTATAAAATTGTGTATATTTATGTTTAGGCTTATTCTGTGAGAGGGGAAAGAGGCATCAAGTTGCACATGCGGCTACGACTAATAATTTATCCTTCTTTTGACTTTCCATTTGGTTGATTATGCTTAACGTTTTCCATCCACATTTCTCATTTACTCCTACATCATTTTTTTAATCAATCTCAAAACACCGAAACCGAATAACCCTAACACCCGATACCACCAGCTCGTTTACGGTAAACAAGAAACCGAGGGGTCGTTAATCAACACAAACTGGATAACTGGTAATCAGATAAGAGTACAGTATGTGTACAGCAGTGTGGTGTAGGTTAACCGCTGATAGAGTAAGGGGTCGTTTAGACATCACTCATTTACCTTTATCGTGTAACATTCTCGGCCATCAAAGTAAATTGTTAGTACGCATCTTAAACACAGCAAGCGCTTACTGGATAAGACTCTCGGTCATTGCTATGCCTCTTACCGGGCAAGATTCTCGGTCCTTTCCGTGCTCAATCGGGCAAGGAAAGTGATATGAGTAAGCACTTACTCGATAGGTGTTTAGTAAATGATCCCTAAGAGTCTTTCTTGCCCTTAACGAGTCGGCATCTTGATCAACATTATTTGTCAGTCAAAGCGTATGACAGACAACTCTCCTCAAACCAGGTAAACGCCTTTTACCCGGTAACTTTGAGGGAAGACCCGGGACTTGAGCTTGCCGAAAAAAGCCCAAAAGAGCCCAGTGAAAAAGCCTATCAGACCCTTTTTAAAAACCCAAAGCCCAGCCCAGGACTTTTTTTCTCACTGAAATCGGGCTTAGAACTTAGAAGGCAGGAAGGCCTTGTGAACGTCTGGTCTGCGTACATCCTACCTCTAAACCCTCTCTTTACGTGGTATATATTTGGTTCGTTTCATTTGGCTTCATAGATCTTTTGAAATTTTAAGAGTTCGTAACAGCTTTACGTAAATGCTATATAAAGAAGTACGGATAATTTGCTTAAAAGGAATACCCTCGATTCGCCATACACAATACATCAAAATCCAAGATCTCGGGGCAAAAATTTCATTTGGATAGTTTTGGAACAAAATCAAGCTATCAAAGCATATGAGTAGAACAAAAAATGAAGTTTTTTTTGTGATATCTTGATCAATCTTCATCATCGATTACCTTGGTTCCGAGTCCCGTTAGTCCTTCAGCCGGGATTTCTGCAACGGTAACAAGCGAGTAGAGTTCTTCTTTGGCATCTTCGTCATCATTCCTTTTGCGAGCAATGCGGACCCTAACCCTCCTTGGGACACTTCTAATACCCCTGCTCCATATATGCTTGTTTAGTTTCACATCCACTCTCACATCTGTCGTCCCCATGGCTTTTTCTGCAAACTTTCTTATCTCCTTGATGGCTTTAGGAGCCTTCTTTTTGAAGGTGCTGTTCAAGATCCATCACGAAATGAGCTAAATAATCAATTAAGGGAGATCAAACGTCATGAAATGAAACTACATAAGAACCATTCACGAATTTGTTGCATGTACATCTGTAGCAACCCATCCTACATGGATATAAAGTAGATATGTGAGCTCCTTATAAGCTCAAGGTTGTGGGCAACGAATAATTTCCATCATGGTTTTAAGTTGGTTACTTGGTTCAGAGGTTATTGTGCCAGCTTGCATCTTGGGCTATTGGGAATTTAAGTACAAAAGCAATATCTGATATATACAACCAACTAACCCACTAAATCGCAGTTGAAGGTAGGATGGTTGGGGGTTGATATGTACGCATACCTGACCTCTACCCAAAAGGGTAGAAAGGCTGTTTCTATAAAGACCCCCCAGCTTGTAAACGAGTGTGAGGGAAAAGGTACAACGATTAAAGACTAACATATTCTGAACGAAGCACGAATAAGCATGGACAAAAAGTATAAAATTCTCAAGGCCATTAAAGAACAAGACACTCATGTGATGCTGATTTTAGGGAAAAAACAGGCTGACATTTAACAAACTTTTTGTGGGAACAATCGAATAATGGATCATAAAATATAGCAAAGTTATGGTCATCTACAACTGGCCTAAAATCACAATGACCAAGGCTATGTTTGGTTTGTCATGTGAAAGCTTTTTAAGTTAACAAACTTTACTCTTATCTTGATTATAGTATGTAAAGTTAGAACTCGGTTAATCTTTTCAACATGTCCTTTTTGGTCATTTTGCATTTGTCACCTAGCTTAACTATTTTTTGCCAAACGTGATTAGCTTATCAGCTAGTTTGCCAAACATAGCCTAAGCCTTAACAAAATCAAGCAATCTAAAATGAATCACTAGAAAGGAGCAAACCTCAGAACGAAATGATAGAAGACAATGAGGAGATTATATGTTATGATCAAACATGAAAAGGTTGCAAAAGAAGGGAGAACAAGAGAGAAAGGTGTCATCCTCGCAGAGAGTAGAGAAAATCCAAGGGTGGTTAAGCCAATGCACAAGCTAAAAAAACCAAATCAAACGAGTCTAGTATGTCCCACCCGATGGTGGGTGTAAGATGTACGTAGACCTGACCTCTACCCCAGATAGTCAGGTGGATGTTTCCGTGAAAACCCATGGCTTGTGCAAAGCATGTGAAGCAAAAGGAATGTCAAAAACACAAGTTGACACCCCTTATTCAAGAAGAACTAGACAAATTACTTGGAAGGCTTAAACAGATTAGCCAATACATATGCAACTGGCACCCATCTTTAATTCAATGTTCATCCCAAACTACTTTTTTTATGGACAACTTGAGTCCCTTTAATTCGCAGGTTCATGCAAAACACCCCCTCATTGAGCAAACTTTTCCCATTCTAGAGAACGAGCATAACTCATTCACGAGGAAATAGTCAAACATGGAAAAAAAAGTCATGTAGGCACCGTTGGGAAGTTTTATTCCAAACTAAAGATTAAAAACTGTTGAAATTTGCAACAATTCTCCCGACTTATATAGTAACTACCCTATGTAGTTTCAGATAGCCTATCCCTACCATGGATAAAAGCAAGATGGTTTCTGTATAGTTATTGCAAACCAGCATAAAAGTTGGCTACCTCTATGCCAAAGAGCCTTATGTATGTGAAAAATGTGAAGCAAAAATGGTGAGATCAGTGTCCAATTCAAACTATGGTACCCATAACTTTTAGGTGTAGGCTTGTAGCTGAAGAATATAAGAGTAAAATCATTCTACAACCAACACATAATGCAGTTCCTGAGTTATCATTAATCCAAATAAGACTGAGCCAACTAATATCGAAATCCCACAAACACAAACTTCAAAAAACCTAAATTGGCCAGGCAAACAAACATCAACAATCATCCAATTAAGTAAACATTTAATTGAACTTAAAAGCAAACAGAATCAAACAATCCCGAAGTGACAAGCGTTTCAAAATAGATAGACAATGAATGAGAACCCTAAGCACCACCAAATTTAGAGATTACCAGCCATGCAAGCGCTTATGAAGGTTGATAGTGTATTCCCTAGTAACCACCTCCTCCTTTCTACCTTTCGTCTTTTCCACCATTGTCCCTTGATCTTCACCGGTACCTGTACTTCAACAGAATCAATTTTCAACATTGTTTTAGAGAAAGACCAACAATCTATCAAACGGAAACGAAGTGATCAATCGATCTGAGGGTAGTTTGTGTTCGGAGGAGCAAAAGAGGCGAACCTGGTTATGGAAGCGATCGAAAAGGAGACCGAGTATCCCCAAATATGCAGCAGCCGCAGTGGCAGTGGCAGTGGCAGAGAGAGTAACCAGCAAACCCTAAATAAATAGTAGCACCAATTTAGAAGCTAAAAATAACATTTCGAATTAATTTTTTTTATTTTGTGTAATTTATTTTAAATTCTTTGTTTTACTATTTTGTATATTGCAATTTAAATATTTAGATTTGTAATATATATTTAAAATTAAATGTATTTTTATTTTATTCCAAATTTATGTAAACGTTTTGCTTAAATGTTTGAAATATCACATCGTATAATCAAAGTTTAAAATGGTGTGAGGTGTGGCGTGACAACGAGATCAAACCTCATACTTTACATGTCACGGTGCCCTTCTCAAAATGATGGCATAATCTGTGAGTTGTAATCGCTGAAGAACCCATCGAATTTTCTTTCATCTTATCGTGCATGCCTGATACGTCTTTGAAGGAATTATCAACGATCAAGATCAAAGGCGTAGACAGACCACCGGGTCGGCAATCGTTTCTTCGTTTCGGATCCTTATCCGAAAAGATCGACTAAGCAATGGACTCTACCACCAATATCTAAGCTGCGTTTATTCCTTATTGGGCTTCCAATTAAGCCCAAATGCCCACTACTATTACTATCTCTGAAATTGGGCCCGGCTTGGGGAATTGCAATTTTTCGATCGATTTATAGGAAATTATGAATTAATATTTTAATTAAAAACAAAAACACTTTTTGGTGGCTTTATGATATGGGCCCAAGTGCTTATTTACATGGGATTCTTCAAATGTCGTACAATAACCCTAAAAAAACTAAATATAAAAATATTTTAATATCTTTTATTTTTAAATCAAGGAAAGTAATTTCTTTTAAAAGAGGATGATAACACACACATATATATATATATATATGATCAAATAAAAACCATCTTCATTTGTGTAAACCGTGCAAACCACCTTCATCCGTCGATTTCATTGTTTAATCTTATGAAATTTTTTCATTAAAATTGTTTAATCTTGTGAAATTGTTTCATATAATACTTTTTTTGATCAAGTTGTTTCATATATGGTTGTGAAATTGTTTCATATAATACTTAATAAAACTGTTTCATGTATTTCTCTAAAATTAATGAAACTGTTTCATGTATTTCTCTAAAAATTAAAATAATGAAGATGATAATATCTATGATTAAGACCCTCCACAATAAAAATGATTAATCGAAGCTCTCATAATTAGAAAAAAATGAACAAAATGAAAAATTATGATTAGTTCAATGAGGTTTGCACGGTTTGTACAAATTGAGTGGTTTGCATTTGATCGTTCCCCTATATAGATATATATATATATATATATATATRTGTGTGTGTGTGTGTGTGTGTGTGTGTGTGTGTGTGTGTTGACTTGGGATCATGTGAAAGAAGTATGTTTTCGTGAGACTTGTAAGATTACAAATTAACACTGAACTTTCACAAAAAGATACTGTAAATGTAAATCTTCAATGTTTTTGCTGTGAATGTTCAGTTTCTTTTTGTATATTCACAATGTTCTGCTGTGAAAGTTTAATTTAAATTTTCGTTCTCATGGGTCTCACGAAAACAAGTTGATCTCACGAGAACCCAACTCCTACATATTCATTAGATTTCTCATAACAGTTTCTCGAATTAGATAGAACAATTTTCATTGTAATTATATTTACTCAATTACTTCATATAAATCATAAATCAAAATTAAGGTGGCGTTTGTTTTTTAAGAGGTGCTGAAGTCTGAAGTCTGAATTCACTTCTGAATTTTAAGAGGTGGTGTTGAAGTCTGAAATCTGAATCAGTCAGACTGTTTGTTTTTACGTCTGAAATCTGAATCAATTCATTTCAATTAAATTTAACTGAAATATCCAATCATTTAAACGAAATTGGTGTTCAAACGATCCAAGCTCACAATGGAAATCAGAAGTGGAATCACTGTTAACATCATGAACTTGATTATGATCGTTTCCAATGCCTAATGTTTTTCCATTTCCAATGAAGGAAAAAGGGAAGATTGAAGAACCCTAGCTGCTAAGGAACTGAAAGCCCCTGTTTACGCTTGGTTGGTTTAAATACCCATAAATGGTTTGGATTTCTGAAGATGGAGATGGAAAAACATTAGGCATCTCGCAACACTGCCCTAAAATTGACTCGTAATCGAATCTTTCCAATGGCAACCCTAACAACGACCTCCCCGTCGTCCTCTCCAACGCCTGCCGTCGAATCGAAGCAGCCCTAAGGCAGTCCCCAAGCTTCGATTCCGAAGGATTGAACGAAATCGATGCCGAAAAACCCTAGGAGGTATATGAAGGAGGAGGCAGTGCATCCGATGCTTTAGGAACCGGAGACGGTGATCGATCGACGATACCGACACCGGAGTGGAGAAAGGGTGGGAGGTGGTGCCGGAGTGGTGGCGGGTGGAGGTGGGGTTTTGGGAGAGAAATGGAGGTGGTGGAGGAGGGGAGTGGGGAGGAGAGGGAGAGGAACATGGCGGAGGGTAGGCGAGAGCTTGAGGCAACGCGATTAAGAGGTTTTCAGACTGCATTTTACCTCTAAATAATTCAGATGAAATCAGATGTTTTAAGCACTTAATTTATAAAAAAAAAAAAAAAAAACGCACTTAATCCCTCAATGTCTGACCGATTCAGACATAAGAAACAATTAAGTGCTTTTTTTTAAAAAACAAACAGCACCTAAAATAATTAATGTATTTATAATTGAGTTATAATTCTAGAAGAGGGATCATGCCAAAAGTTTAAATATCATATATGATTACACCCTATTTTGTGTGTGTTTAATCGTATATGATTAAGCGTCTATTTGTTGTCAAGACAACATAATCATATATGATTAATCATGTACATCATACATGTAATATTGAAATTGTTCGTCTTCTTATAAATTGTTTAACTTCTGTTTTAAACCAAACCTGACCTTATTATTTCAATAGTTAATTATTTGTATCACTTATTTTATCATAAGAATTAAAGTTTGTATTTTTAATAAAAACATAAATTAATCTAGAAATTATTATATGTGAGATTAAAAATTAATATTTATTATTTTAGATGGATATCATCACAAAAATTTAAACATGGAAGTGGCAGTGGGGTCCATACAACTTGCAACCCCCTAGAATATTCTATTATAAGATGGGTCGGCATGAGATAAAAGTGATCAAGGATTCAGATCTATTTTTACGTTTTTTATCATAACTTTCTTTCTCACATGATCATTCGTCTATACATATAATATGTATATATATAGAGACTTGAGATCATGTGAGACGATGATGTTCTCGTGAGACTCATGTGACCACATTTTACATTTGAAACTTCACAGCAAAACACTTTAGATTTTTTTTTTACCTTTACAATGTTTTGTTATGAAGATTTAAATGTAAAAATATAATCTTATTGATATTAAACAAGCTAGTCTCATATAAACTAAATCCTATATAGAGATATATAATATGTAAATATAGAAGTGACATCGATAGAAAAATCCTGACAAAAAACCAAATTATTTATTTGAGATGGTCTAATGATTAATGACTAAAAAGGCACATTTAAAACACACACATATATAGATATGAGTTATTTTACAATCTTTTACATTTGTACAACCAATGCAACTCAATCTCAACCGTCCATTTAATTTGATGAATATGTGATTTCATAAAAAATTTGATTGTTTTATAATATAAAGTATTGATCATAATTAATGAACTCTAGTCATTTTCTTAAATATTCAAATCATAATTAATGAATTCTTATCATTTCCATAAATATTCCAGTTAATTGGGTTGCATTGGTTGTATAAATAGACATGGTTGCATTTGAAATATACCCTATATATATAATCAGAATGTTAAATATCATGAGAATGTAAGAATAAAGTGTTAGAGAACGTTCATATGTGGATCATTAAAAAAATAGGAAAAAATCTATTGAAGATCCATGTGTAAAACAACGTTACAGATTAGTCATATGGGTTCACACATGCATCTTCAAATATATTTTTTTCAATTATTTATATACAAAACTTTTGTTTCTTACTTTCTCATAATATTTAGTCTTCTTATTTACACTGACCTTTCTCTCTCTCTCTCTCTCTCTATATATATATATATATATATATTGTATGTATGTATGTTTAAGATGTAGAGAGAACAGGCTGGAATGGAGGAAAGGGTTAGAAAGATCTATAAAATTACATAAGATGTTTTATGAAACACCCATCTTTTATATTACTGAAACAACCCGTTTGATTTTCAATTGTAATATTAATAAAATAAAGGTCTTTTCTTGTAAACAACAACAGATTTACTAACATTGCAAAACCCGTTTGAATAAATTGACATAAAGTAAAAATACCAAATAGAAAATAAACTTTGACAATACCAACACTATTAATTATTGATCATAATAATTGTTGGCATAAAAATACAACTAGAATTTACAACAGAACATTCAATGCTGAACTGAGCGTTTAAAACCACAAACCTACTTCTTTGAGCTATCATTAATTTACACAAAGATTTCACATGCTATGAATACCAAATATGGCAAAATTTTGAACCTTTAAATACTGAAACAAAATTGATATATCAGATAGAACTAAAATCAAAGCTGCAGTTTAAATAAACACATGCATATATAAATTTGAATAAATAAAAAGACTGTATAAATAGAGATGTTGGGATGGTGTTAGACTTTTAATTAAGAAATTTTTGGATACAAATTATAACATGTTATTTAAGTGGATGTATTTGAGAGGGTGTGTTTCACTTGAAGAAGTTTAAGGACTGTGAGTGTACGAATGTATAAAGAAAGGGTGTAGTTTGAAAGTGGGTATAAAGATAAGGGGGTGTGAATGAAAATATAGGGAGGGTGTGAGTTGGAAGTCGCTTTCTGGTCAAAGAAGTTGGAGACAGCTAGCAAACTACCAGACCACAGCAACTTAGAAAAGAATCCACAGCTTTGCTTTCTAGGACGGTGAAACGTGCATTCTTCTCCTACTATCCGTCTATCTCTCTATCAT